GAACAGGCAGATCGATGAAGTACACTGCTGAGGGGAGCAGCGGGCGGGTCAGGAGAGGTCTGCCACACCATGTGGTCCCCTCCAGGGTAGGCGGGAATCGAACTCATGCGCAAGTGGCTTTAGCTTCTTAGTGCTGTGCTTTAACCCGCTGCGCCACCAGGGAGGGCCTGTATTTCCATTTTTTAAATAAAATGAACATGTTTGTAAGCTCATCAAGGTGGGGAGTATAAACTGTTCATATAAGACCAGTTTTCAAAGATTTGTAAGTAAAATGTATATAGTTGCCACTGTATACTTTCGGCCCTCAACAGAAATGTTAGGGGCCTTCCCTGGTAGCGCAGCAGGTTAAAGCACAGCACTAAGAAACTAAAGCCACTTCCGCATGAGTTCAATCCCTAGCACCAAAGGTGACCCACATGGCTTGGCAGACCTCTCCTGACCTGCCTACTGCTCCCCCTCAGCAGTGTACTTCATTGATCTGCCTGTTCTGCACCCCTCTCTGTCTCTGGTAAATCCTACCACTGCCCCTGCACCTCTGCTTGTACCCTAGTTCTGTATGCATAAATAAATAAATCTTCAAAAAAAAAAAAAAGAAATGTTAGAAGAATAAAAATAGGGTGGGATAGTCATATTATTGGGAGTGTGCCTGAATTTTTGTTGAATTCTATCATGCATTGGAAATAACAAGAGGAAGAAAAGAACATGTAGGCATTTATTATTTTTTTAAAGATTTACTTATTTATACATACAAAAACTGGGGTACAGGCTGAGATGAAGGGGTAAGAGGATTCACCTGAGAGAAAGTGGGGAGCAGAAGAGGCAGATTGACTGAAATACACTGCTGAGAGTAGCAGCCGGTGACAGGAGAGGTCTGCTGCGCCCTGTGTGTCACCCCGTGGCTGGGGATGGGACTCGTGCTGCAGTGGGTGCGGCTGCAGGATAGTTTCATAGTGCTGCGCTTTAACCCACTGTGCTACTAGGGAGGGCACCAATGTAGGCATTTAGATAGCACTGACATCAGTTGCTGGGTTGGCCAGGGAGTGGAGTGGGGGAGTACTTAAAAAAATAATTATTACCTATCATTTACTTTTAGGAAGTAGGAATAGAATTGTGTTTAGTAAACACAGGCAGTACCTGATGCCTTTCTCCTATATTATTCTTCACAGAACTTCTGGATGCCTGCACATTCATGGAAATTAAAAACCCAACAAAGTGAGCAGCTGCAGAAAGGCTAAAGCCTGCCAATACGAACGGCCACGTCTTCCCTTTTCAGCATATATAAATTTTATAATTTTGGGCTATAAAGGATGAAAAAATTAAAATGAGTAAAAGTGATTGTGTCTTCTCAAAAAACTGTTTTAAAATATCCTCAGACTTTGGGGAAGGGGAAGAAAAAGATTTCTTTCTTTCTTTCTTTCTTTTTTAAAGATTTATTTATTTGTTCATACAGAACTGGGGTACAGGCCAGAGGCTCAGGGGCGGCGAGAGGTTCACCAGAGACAGAGTGGGGAGCAGAACAGGCAGACCGACGAAGTACACTGCTGAGGGGAGCAGCGGACGGGTCAGGAGAGGTCTGCCACACCATGTGGTCACCTCCAGAGGGCAGGCGGGAATTGAACTCATGCGGAAGTGGCTTTAGCATCTCAGTGCTGTGCTTTAACCCACTGCGCCACCAGGGAGGGCCAAGATTTCTTTATTTTTTTATTTTTATTTCTAAAATTGTGCTACTGAATTTAATATCTAATAAATTATACCTTTTTAGAAAAATTCCACAGGACTAATTTAACTTCCCTCCCTATTCTTTGATTATTTTACTCAAGAGACATGTCCCCTAAATAAAATACAGGCAATACGTTTGTCTGAAGGGAGCCTGCGTGTGATTAAAAATGTGCAAAAAAGTCAAGGACTTACATAATAAAAATAAAGAATAAAAAATTAGTTTGTTCCTATTCCCCATAGGTGAATTGGTGGTGGGAAGTCCATGGAGAATTCAAACAAGATGGAAAAAGGCACAAAATGAAGAATGATGTAAAACTAAATTTAAAAAAATTAAAAGTTAAAAAAATTCGTCTGCATATTTTTAACATTTAAAATTTATAATACCAAGTGAAATCAAAGTCCTGATATAGATTAACTGGAAAATATTAACAATACTGCAAAAATGATAATACTCAATCTTAGCAAGATCACTTACTTGATTGTTAGTAATTGCAGTTGTAAAGATATTTAAAGTTTGAAAATACAATTCACCAAGGAGATTATTAGTATGGATATGATAAGCAGGATAGTTCCTTGTATTTGAAATGCAATTTGGAGCCAGAGTCCCCAAGACTTGAACCAACCAAAATCTAATAAATCAAAGAAAGGAAACCCCTTTCATAATCTTTCTTTAAGAGCAAACAGGGTCCTCCTGGGTGGCACAAGGGGTTAAGTCTCCGCACTATGAAGCAATCAGGGAGCAGAGTTGACCCACATGGCACTATCTCGCACTGTCTCACCCACTGCACCCCTCAACTGTGTATTTCAGTAGATCTGCCTGTTCTGCTCCCCACTCTCGTGAATCCTCTCACCCCGTGTACCTCTGACCTACACCCCAGTTCTGTATGTATAAATAAATCCTTTTTAAGAAAATGAGCAAGCAATATAAGAAAACTGTCCTTTTAACAGAGAGAAAAGTAAACTCCAATTTTGTAACTTTGTGTACTTTTGATATTAAAATTCAGTGCAGTTTAACCAGTTTGCCCACACACAAAATTTGCTTTCTGTTTTAATTAATTAATTTATTTATTTTTAAAGTTTTATTTATTCATACAGAACTGGGGTACAGGCCAGAGGTGCAGGGGATGTGTGAGAGTATTCATCAGAGACAGAGTGGGGGACAGAGCAGACAGATTGAAGAAGTACACTGCTGAGGGGAGCAGCGGGCAGCAGGCAGGTCAGGAGAGGTCTGCCGCACCATGTGGGTCACCTCCCGGAATGGAGATTAAACTTGCACTGAAGTGACTGCTGCTTGCTTGCAGCGCTGCACTCTAACCCCCTGCGCCACCAGGGAGGCCCCTGTTTTTGTTTTTGTTTTTTAAGATGTATTTATTTATGCATACAGAACTGGGGTACAGACCAGAGGTGTGGGTGGTGAGAGATTCACCAGAGACAGAGTGGGGAGCAGAACAGGCAGATGGTTGAAGTACACGGCTGAGGGGAACAACAGGAGGGTCAAGAAAGGTCTGCCGCGCCATGTGGGTCAGCAGCCTGGCTGGGGATCGAATTCATGCTGCAGTGGCTTCAGAGAGCTTCACAGTGCTGTGCTTTAACCCTTCTGCACCACCAGGGAAGGCCCCTGTTTTTGTTTTATACCATTTTCTATTGAAGTACCATTGTTTCACATGTTTGCTAGTAGTTTGACAGTAGAGGGTTTACTCCTTCAGGTATAATCACCATAGCTCTCATTGGCCAAAGTACCCACAGTCCTCTACCTTAGTCCATTGTACCTCCTCTTAACCCCACCTTCTCACTCCTCCATCTTTCCCTCCTCTTTTCCCTCTGGAAGTCTCAGATCTAGGGTCAGCTTTCCAGAATAGGTTTTTTGGGTGCATGTATATTGTTTTATTTTATTTTTAAACTTATTTTTGCATAGAAGAACTGGGGTACAAGCCAGAGGTGTAGGGGGAGAGGATTCACCAGAGAATGAGTGGGGAACAGAACAGGTGGATCTATTGAAATGCACTGGTGAGACGAGCAGCAGGTGAAACAAGAGAGGTCTGCTGTACCATGTCAGTGCCCTGGCAGGGGGTCAAATGAACCAGATGTCCCTATCCAAAGGGGCCCAAAAAGTTTGAAACAAGATGTATAAAATGCCACATACTTCAAGGCACAATGTAGTTGAGCTCTTGAAAGTCAATAGCAAGAGAATATATTTTTTTAAGATTTACTTAATTATTTATGCATGCAGAACCAGGATACAGGCCAGAGGTGCAGGAGTGGTGGGAGGATTCACCAGAGATAGAGTGGGGAGCAGAACAGGCCTACTGACGAAGTACACTGCTGAGGGGAGCAGTGAGCATGTCAGAAGAGGTCTGCCACGACACGTGAGTCACCTCCCGAGTGGGGATCGAATTCGTGTTGAAGTGGCTTTAGCTTCTTAGTGCTGTGCTTTAACCCACTGTGCCACCAGGGAGGGTTGAGAGTATTATTTTTAATATGAAACATAATCTTAATATTTTTCATCATTCTCCTTTCCTTCTTTTTCTTAAGTTTCCTCCTTTCTATCAAATATATTGCCTATTGATTTTATTTTGAATATGCATGCAATAATTTTTATTTAAAAATTAATTTTTACTCTATTTTGTATTATGGTAATCTTGATTTACAACAACACTGTATATACAACACTATATGATTCAGAGGCACAGAAGAGGTTTATTCACACCTCTTCATGCCCACCACCAAAGCTCCTTTAATCTTCTATCATAATTTATTATCTCCCCTCACCCCTTATCTCCTCTCTTCTCCTCTGATAGCCTCAATTTTACAGTCAGATTTCTAGGGTTTGTTTTGCTTAGTTTTATCATTTACTTTGTTTTTCTATATTCCACATATGAATGAAATCCTCTCGTATTTTTTTCTCCTCTTGACTAATTTCACTTGGCATAATCCTCTCAAGTTCCATCTATGTTGGAAATAGTAACCTTGTCACAAACAGTAAGGTCTGAATTTTTTTGTAAGTGGTAAGCCATTATATGTATACACCACATCTTCTTAATCTGTTTAGATATTTGGGCACTCATGTTGTTACCCTAACTTGGCTATGGTAAGTATTGTTACAACAAACAAAGAAGTGTATGTATCCCTTTGAATTAGCGGTTTTGCAATCTTTGGATAGACATCAAGGAGTGGAATTGTTGGATCATATGGCAGACATTAATTAATTAATTAATTAATTTATTCTGAAAAATCTCCAAGCTGTTTTCCATACATTACTGGATCAGTCTACATTTTAAAAACATTGTATGATGATTCCATTTTCCCCACATCTTCACCAATACCTTTTTCTCTTGGAATTTTTGATAAAGGCCATTCTCACAGTTATGAAGTGGTGTTTCATCATGGTCTTAGTTTACATTGCTTTGATGATAAATAGTGGTCATTTTTTTCATGTACCTATTGGCGTCTGTGTAGAGTTATATAAGTTCTTTATAGATCTTGGATATTAAGCTTCATGTCATAAGGACAATATACAAGACCTGTGGATTAGCTCCCTGGCTGAGGGGATGGAATTCAGGTAACGGTGACAGTGTGGCAGGGCTGAGACTCAACACCTGTGCCACCAGGGAGGTCCCTCAAGCCTTAACACCTGTTTTTACTCCATCTTGAGTTAATTTTTGTGTATGGTATGAGATAGAAGTCTAGCTTTATAATTTTGCAAGTAACTGCCCAGCTTTCTCAACACCATATGTTGAAGAGACTTGCTTTTCTCCATTGTTTGTTTAGCACACTATTGTCACAAATTAACTGTACACATAAATGCTTCTAAGGTTTTAGTGGCCACTAGGTGACTCTTTTGAGCTTCCAGAATGTGCTAAACTCAACACTGTGGGTTTAGAGAGAAAAGAAAAGAGAAGCCAGTCCACCCCTTCTCCTTATTTGCCTTTCACTCCCCCAAACTGGGCTTGGTTATGAAGCTCTGTCTGAACAGAGAAGGGTTTTACTACTGCCAGGCCTCAGGGTAATGATGAGTCCCTTCTTTGGTGCTGAGTTATTTTAATGTCAGAAATATATTCTGTTCATTCTGGTTGAAACTACATGATATTTGAAAGGGTTTTTAAATAATAACCCTATAATTAACATTTTGGTCAAGTTAGAAAATAACATTCTATGACTAAAATTTTTGAAGACAAGTGTTTTTTCATTGCCAAACTCCTGTTGCAATTTTAAAATACAGCAATGTCTCCACAATCTTAAGTGGATAAGAAAGAAAGTAGGGTGTATGTGTGGGGGGAGGAGAGGAGTAGAGAAAAGTTGCATGCTTAAATCTAAGCAAGCTTCTTTCTTTAAGTAATAGGGATACCGCTCCTCAGGTATTAGTCATATGAGGAAATAAGCTGAGATTTTTCAACTGTTACTTTATAAAATCATGAGTTTTGTTTGAATTCAGAATAAAAAATTTTAAACAAATTGATTTCAGTCTGTGTATCTATACATTTGTGTCTACCCGTGTGTTTTATTACCTTACCTCCAGATGATAATAATAGAATAAATTCATATATATTTGGCTTGTGGAAGTTAATATATATA